AGTGCTTGGTTCGAGCCACTGTTCAACCGATGATCGAGTATAATCAATGATCGTGACATCACTACAATGCAGTGACAGAATGCAAGCGCTAAAGGAACAGAATTTTTTTTATGGGGGGGTACGATGGGAAATCGATGCGCACCTTCTACGCAATCGCCCGCAATCTGCAATGTTTCCAAGCAACGATTCTAGCACAATGTTTCTTTCGAGCGACAATTCTAGCAACATTTCTTTTCGAGGGACTCGCGCGATTTTACCCTCGGACGAAATCTCAGGCCGTCGGAAAACGTGGCACTCTGCATTTTTGCCCTTCCCGCGTTGCCGCGGCGACATCCCGAGACACTGGACAGCGGTCAGCCTCACATTGAACGCGAGGGTGGGTCCGCGGGGACCCGTCTACCCGTCTTTTTTTATTACGAACGTTCCAAGTGCAGTGTGTTTAGCCAGAGACCCGTCTACCCGTCTTTTGGACGGCCTATTCTTGGATGAGACGGATGAAATATGATAGAGACGGCATGAGGGCGGCCCAATTATATATATTATACACCTTGTATAACTAACAACAGTGCTTATAAGAATATTAAATATCAGATTCCTAGCATTTCAGACTAAATTTCCTCCATTTTTAGGTAATGCCCTCCCCCCCAATGCGCTTCACGCCCGCAGCATCCTCGCTTCGCTCAGATGGTGAGACTCCCCGATTTTTTTCCTGGCCAACACCCTGCTCACCTTGAAGGCGAGGGTGGGTCCGCGGGGCATGCGCACGATGTGCAGGTTGATGTGTAGACTAGGCTTCGTGAGAACGATGATGTGCGAGACGCCGAACGGTCCGGCGACCGCCGCAAAGTCCTTGAACACGTTCGACTTTTTCACCTGGAGAGAGAGAGAGACGGCGCGTCGATTTTATTATCTGTACAAGTGCTGTGACAGTGTTTAAATACAACTAAAGCCATTAAGCAAATGACAAATTCTCCTCGACTACGGCCAGGCCCTCCCTCCATCACCTTGACTGTAGTGTTTAAGTAGCAGTAAAGCCATTAAACCACTTAAAATCGAGTAAATTCGAGATGAGTTGAGAAATGACAAATTCCCCATTCCTACCCTGCGCCCCAGCCCCGCCCTCTGACCCCAGCCCTGCCCTGCCCTGCCCTCTGCCCCAGCCTTCTCCCCCCTTTGCCCCGCCCTCCTCCCCCCTCCCCCTCTGCCCCACCCTCCTCCCCTCCCCCTCTGCCCTGCCCTCCACCCCCTCCCTTTCTGCACGGTCCTACCTTGAGCTCGGACGCTGTGTTCGGCTGCATGACCTTGCGAAGGTCGCGTATGAGGTCGAACGGCGCGCCGACGAGACGACCTTGGTGGATGATGAACGAATGACACGCGGGCTGAGATGCCGCGTCGCCCGGCGCCCCCGCCTGCTTCGCTCGCGCGCCCTTCGCCGTCCTACCCTGCAACAAGAGAGCGTGCAAATCCGGTTTTAGCACGTTATGTACAATGAATTGATGCACAAAATTACACTTTAATAATTGATAATGATAATATGATAATATGATAATAATATGATAATATATATAATATCATATATATAATGATATGATATTAATGATAATATCATGAAGTGATGCACAGACTTATATATCTATCTTGAAGTGAAGCACAAAATTACATGTATCATGAACTGATGCACAGATTTATAGCATCACAGAGACCGGCATGCAGTGATAGAGGAGTGTGCGCCGTGCCTCAAGTCTACACCTGATCGCGTGCCGGGTTCGCACGCAGCGTAGAATACTGTGACTGTTAGCTTTAGTACTGAGCCCTTGTTCGCCACAGGCCCTGTTAAATCTAGTTTAAGCACCTTATGTATGCGGCTGCAATTTTAACTGCGCAGTTTGAGCACGGCAGTGGCAATTGCAGTTTATTGATATATTTTTTGTGTCGCACAATAGACTGAGTATATGTCATATGAATAACAACGTATATTTACACGACGATCAGGTAGCGTAGTTACACGACTTAGATACACATTAAAATTTAAAATGGCAGTAAAATACCGTTTGATCATCTAGAAGCTATTTTCCGTGAATCACGTTTCCAATACGAAACCTTTTGAACACATTCATAATATACTAACAAACATAATATACACGTACATAAATATACTAGCCAATCAGAAGTACTGTACGGTAAAATAGCGGAAGTGGATACTATGACGTATAGGCGTATACGGTTAAATATCACTGCGTTTATTCAATATGAATTTACAAAGTGGCTTGAGGTACGGCAGCCGTCGTTCGTTGAAGTCTCTTTGTGGCGTTCTTTTGAGGGCTGAGGAAATTGTTCGCGATCTTCTGATGTAAAGTTTACAATAACGTTCATTTTCATACCTAATCCGAGTGTTTTCTAGCTCATCAAAACTCTTAAATCGTGAATTTATTTCCAACGGCATTATTTCGAAATCTGAATTAGCCGCCGCCATCTTTTTCTCATCTTCTTCCGTTTGTGGGAAAGCGAATGGACTGCCGTACCTGCAGGTCAAAGTATTTAAAACAAGAGAACAAATGCCATACGACATTTGTAAATGTTTTGTTTTCTTTTATGAT